CGGGGAGCGAGGCTGGTCCCTGCCTGCGCGGCCGGCTGGAGAGCCGCCTTCATCGCACCTGCCTTCATCCCTGTGTGCCCTCATCTCTGCGCGGGGCGTGAGGCACTCTCCGAGCCCGGGGATGCTTTTTCTCCAGGTTTACCGTTGTCTGTGACCTTTTTCTGGTGACGGCCGTTAGTGAGCGGCCCTAGCTGATAAGTCAGCCAAATGGAGTCCGTTTCAAGTTTCAATGCATGTTACAAGCAGTAAATGCATGTCTTAAGTCAAATGTGTTTGCATTTCTCTTAATATGTAAAGTGCACAGTGGTTCTGCAGGTTTCACTTTCAAGGCCTATGTTCAATTTTTTTTTTTAATTTAAAGTGTTAAATCTCTTTGGAGGAGAGTTCTTATTGTGGGCATGTGGGACATGCACTTGATTTCATGTTTAAATCGCTTTCTTATACCGGAAGTATCTAATGTTAACCAAACTCTACGTAGTTAATAGGCAATATATAAGGAATTTGTCAGCAAGGGATTATAAAATAAACTGACATGATCCTTCTTTTTTTGGTTCAATATTTGCAATGTAAATAATTTAGAACAGTTTCAATAAAATACTGTAGATTCAGAGATCATACTTTCAGAAGAAATAAGGACATTTAAAAATGGGAAGCCTTTACCGTAAATAGTAATTGATATTAGCATAATACTGGAATTAAGGTCCAGTAATATATATAAAGTCTTTCTAGAATCGTGCAGTTTACAAAATCCATTAATATTGATTTCACAATAGATTTTGGATGTGCTAGTCTAAATAGAGTTTGTTGCTTAAAATTTGGTTGATGATAGACACCATGTATTTTTTGTGTGTTACTTTGTGGGACAATAAATAAGTATTTTTGACATGGTCTTTAGTGGAGCTGAAATAGAACTTAATAATTGTATTAAATAAGTGAAAATGATTTGATTTTCACAGAATCACAGAATGGTTGAGGTTGGAAGGGACCCCTAGAGATCATCTAGTCGAACGCCCCTGCTCAAGCAGGGACACCTAGAGCGCGTTGTACACTGTAATTTCGGATTGCAGTGTCTGGTTTAAAATGTTTCAGGAGGTTTAATCTATAAACTGCTCCTCTTGTAATTTTAAATTTGATTAAAAGAAAGTGTAGAGCAATTCAGCGTGCAAGTAGTATACAGGGAAAACATGAATAGGAGATATTCTCTGAATATCATTTGGCCTGTTTTTTTATGCTGAATGAGAATAAACAGGCCTGCTTTTGGTCACTGGTTCCCAGTGACAACCTGGCAGTGTAAGTAACTGTGAATGAAAAGGGATCCAGAAATTCATCTGGCTAAACACTGACTTTAGCAGAAGAAGAGGGGAGAAAAAAAAAAAAGGGCTATTTTTCACCAGGTTCAGTTTGCTTAGCTGGTTTGCTGTGTAGCTTCATGAATGTTTTGGCACAAACAAGGCCGAAGAAATGCATAAATTTGGTCTTGCTTTTTGGACCAGTATGTGCAGAAGGTATTGAGAGGGTGGGACCATCCTTCCCACACAGGGAGTAGGTGAGGCAGCAGGTGAGATTTATGTCAAAACAAACTGATACTGAAACTGTGGTTTTAGTTATTATAACTATATTTATATGGTTACTAGAAGTCTTCTGCTTTTATTTTTTACTCTTTTTTCAGTGAAAATGTTTTGTAATGTTAACTAGTTGATTACTAACTGTTAATTTCTCTGATTTTTTTTTAATATAAATCTGGAATTAAGGAAGAAAAGGAGGACAAAATTCAGAGTTCTTCCTTGGCTTAGATTATGCAAACTTGGATACTGCTAGCAAAAATATGCAATTTGGAGCAAATTTTTCTCTGCAGTCGTGCTTCCAAATTTGAAGAGCAGACTGCAACGTGGTGCATGGTTGCTGTACTATCTTTAATGGACTGGCAAGACTGCTGGAGAAATCAAGTTGTATCCGCCTAGGGCTCTAAGGGAACTAATTTACTCTGCTAGATAACATGCAAAATTAGTCCAGGGGGAGCTCAGGGCTACAGCATGTTGGCTACTCACGCTATATGAGGTACCTCAGTTAAAAGTAGCATCAGTAGCCCTTTATTATACTGCTTTGATTAGTGACTACAAATTGTAAGTAGCTTTCTGTTAGCTTTCTTTATCCACGAAGAGGCTGCATGCACTTTTTGACAGCTGTCTGTGTTTGTTTATTTCTAAATACTGTGTTTTTGTACCACTCCACCTCATCTTTGATTTGAGGGGTAGAAATTATAAATGCAGTATTTCTTTAAAATGAACCTACTCATTATTTTCTTAAGAATCTTAAATGAACTGAAAAACTTTCAGGCAATTGTCCATGAGTTAAGTACTAACTATTTTGAGAGGTAAAATTCAAAGTTATTGATGTGCGAAAGTGGTTTGGAATGAAAGCTACAGTGAAATAAAGGCCCTTGCATTTTTACAGCATGGATCTTTGGAGTATAGAACATCCCAGAAATTATTTCACCTTTTCATTAAACAATTACAGTTGTCTTGAAATAGGTTCTTATGGAGGCCGGATTCCTGAAATGGAATATTGAGTTGAATGTGCGTTAATCAATAGAAGCACGCAGAACACTTTATTTTTCAGTGTGTAGTTTCTATCTTAAAAAATATGTATATATTCCTTCTATTTTTTTTTCTGTCTGCTTTTGATTTCTTATATGATAATAAGGGGATAGAAATAAAGGTGCTTTCCCTTGCTGCTGTGAATTTAGCGATCCGTGTCTAGTATATCAAGACTGCAGTTTGTGGAAATGATATTGGTTATTCTGTAGTGTGCATCTGTGGATACAGTATATGTTAAGAAATCTCTTTAGGAACCATTTTGGTTCTGAATTTGTTTCATAACTTGTCAGTAAAGCCCATTTAGAAATCCTAGAGGACACAGTTATTTACATAAATTATTGATAGGAATAGTCAGAAATTGCTTTGCTTAAAATAATTCTAGAGCAAAAGCAAGCAACTGCAAAGAGAGCATACTAAGGGATTGTCAGTAGCCAAAAAAAGCTGTAGTTTTAACTATAAAGTGAAGGAAAAAGAAGGTGCTTAGAGAAGTTTTTTAGAAGTACTGATGATATATGGAAAGTTACCTATTGATACATGTGAATTGATTCAGAAAGCCACTGTCACCAAGAAGAGGATTCCTTGATATTAGTGAAACACATATTTGAATTATCTGCACACCCAGATAAAACATAGGTAACTCATTTTTCTAAATTTATTTACTAATTTCTTTTTTTATATTTGAATATTTTTATTTTTAGGTAAAATTTGGAAATACAACATTTAAGACGGATGTGTATCCCAAATCGCTCAATCCTCAGTGGAATTCTGAATGGTTTAAATTTGAAGTAAGTGTTCTTTAAATGATCACCTGTTATCTGTATGGCCATTCTGCCTTAGGTATTCTTAATGAATTAGCTTTGTTTCAGGAGGAAAATAACGAGTTTTGAGAAATGAGGCTGTTATTCTTTAAATACACATGAAACCTTTTAAGGAAGCTTGCCTGAAGACTTTTTGATTTCTAAAGGTGTCTGAGAGACCTGAGCACCTTAGCATTGGCTTTTCTAGAACTGTTTGTGTAGATAAAAATTTGCCATCTGGGCTGCAACTCAGAGTACTGGGTAATGCTAGAAGAGATGGATGTAGAAATGGGAAAAAAAAAAAGGCATTATCCATTAGGCCTCCTCATATCAATATGGGTATATTCGTTTTTTTTTTTTTAAATAATGATTTTGAGTAAGGAAAGTTAACTGGTATTTGAAATATGCTTGGAATATTTAGTTATAGCAGTAATGCATTTAACAAAGGAAAAGAGGAAAATTTTGTTTAGAAATTACAAAATAAAGGTTTAGGATGGCATTTATCAGGGCCTTCATTTCCCTTTTGCTTGTATAAGAATGAGGCTGCTTGGCATTTTCCTGTAATTGAGACTTGTTCCTTTCCAGAAGCTAATTGGTTAATTTGAATGAATTGTGTATAGCAGTAGCAGAGCTGTCCTTTGACGTTCTGCCCTAAACAAGTACTTAGTCTTTTGTTTGTTTGTTTGTTATTACATTATTTTCAAAATAGATTGTTAATCAACATGGAATGTCTGATTAAGAGCATAGTGTTGTGATATGAAAGTTCACTTAAATTCTTATCTATCAGTTCCTGGCTTCTTCTTGGGAGGGAGGTAAGAACTAGCTAATCTGTGTGGAGTATTAACTATTCATACTGAAAGAGGTTTTTTTTGACAGAAATAGAAGTCTCAAAATTGTATCTTTTTGCATGGGAAATGGATTTGGGAAACAAAAAGCTAAAGAGCAGCATTGAAAAAAAAACAGATTTCCATTATTTCAAAGAGTGGAAAAACAGTAACTCTTTAAGATGTCGGAAATGTGTGTGTGTTTAGTTTGATCAGTTTGCAAAACTGCAAATGTTGATTAAGAATTATACCTTTATGTTGGCTAAGTCTGATTGGTGATTTGCGAATTTCATCATAGAAAGTTTGTTGTATGTTCTTCTAAAAATGTAATTGAAGTATCTGAAGGTGGATAATAGCATTTATTTCAGAAAGTGCATATGTGAAATTACTGGTTTTGTTTTGGTTTCGCAATGGATTGTATTAAATGTCTCTGGGATTTATAGACAATATAGAGAGTGTGCCCAAGAAAAAATCCCATCAAATCTTAAAATGTGTAATCTCTATAATTTTGCTTTTCTGTTTTTGTCCCAGCCATAACTTCTGGTTTCAGGCTGTCATCACTATGTGAAGGGTAAAATCAAAATAAATGAATGCGTTGTTTACCTAGAGCAAATAAAATTATAGTCTGTGTCATGTTACTGTAGATAACTGACTCATATCTTCCTACATTCGTTTTTCAGCAGTGTTTCCTTGCTTTTTCTTCTTTATAGTCACATTTTATGTCAACATGTCTTTCTAGGTAGATGATGAAGAACTACAAGATGAACCTCTCCAGATCACAGTTCTTGATCATGATACGTACAGTGCTAACGATGCCATCGGCAAAGTGTACATAGACATTGATCCTTTGCTCTATAGTGAAGCAGCAACAGTTATATCAGGATGGTTTCCCATTTATGATACTATCCATGGTAAGGCTTACTGATTTAGAAGTAATACTATGTTGTTTGAGATGCAGCCTACTTAAAATGTTCATTAACTGTCTTTAGAGATTTGTAATAATATACTCTTAGTAGGTAGAATGCTACCATTTTGGTGCTTTTTTCATATTAGGGCTGTAGTAAGATAAAGTGTAATTTAAAAATCAAGGACAAGTTGTACTTTTAGGATACTCTTTTAATACCAATTGTATGGGAATGTTGTCTAAACTTTCTGGCCTGAGAATTCAGTAGTTTAGAATAATTCTTTGCAGAACACTTTTCATAAAAATTGAGACAAACAGAAAAACATCTTCCTGTGGTAGTCAGTCATTACTGCAAAGTTTATTTATTTATTTTCTTTTCCCAATTACTACTTACCAGAGAATATACTCGTGTTGAAGTCACTTCCAGTGTTCCCTTCTGGTATGCTAGACAAACTTCGCTTGAGATAGAGGGATAGAATGTGACAAATCTTAGGTATAAAGAAGTACAGCGTGGTACTCTTTTTTTTTTTTTTTTTCCCTTAAGAATATACTTACACTCCTAGATAGAATTCTTCAGAATACTTGAAGAAATGAGAAAATGAAGGTAGTGATACTTCTGAATTTAATGAAGCTGAGGCTTCATGCCAGAAGGTCAAGGTTGGTTCATAGCGAGTTAGCTTCGAGTGCCTCATTACAAAACGTCTGCTTTTAATCTTTAATTAAGACTTTTAATTTTTTAATCTAATAATAAACTCAATGATTTGAACAATGTTAAAGCTAATTAGAAATTATTGGTGGGAAAGCATTTTTTATATAATCATAAATATAAAAATATTTTAAATCTGTTATAGCAGTTATATTGACTTTGAGTGCTGCATGTATTTTTTTTACTCTTATTCTATCCAGATTTTTCGTATCGTGTTCTCTTTCATATGATACATTTTATTTTTTAGTTGATCTAGATAAACATTGTATTGCTTTTGAAACATGTGTGACTTCTATATCAGAGAGAAGTTAAATTTTTCTGTGTTTTTCCAGATGTGGTACTGTTTACTTATTTCATTTAAACAGAGAAGGTATTCTTATATTTTCATGTTTGTATCAGCAGATTCCAATTACCTTGATTCTTGCCAGATAGTAACTGACATTTTGTTTTTTTTTTAAAAAAAAAACTGCCTAATGCAGACTTTTATTTTGAAAAAGAAAATGGCTTTTCTTGTGCTTTACCATGGTGGTTTGTGAAAATACCTGAACCTGATGTAGTTCTTATTTTAGTAAATGAATGCTTCTTTCTACTGACATAGATCTGTAGACTTTAGACTTTATTGCACTAACATCAGAGACAATCTACAAAGCAAATACTTTTGCTCACTTTTTTTGCTATTGAGTGTCAGATGCTTAGGTGGTAAATGCTTTTGAAGTCACTAGGGATCAGACTCATCAAGAAGCTTAGTCCTCAATATGTCAGAATCTATAATAAAGTGACATGAAGTATTTTTTGGTCCTAGGTAGGGAAAAAGGAGAACGCTCAGGATAGAAACATAATAAAATCAAAAAGGACTGGATGTATTTTGAAGAAATATTTCTTTATTAACAAGATTTAATTATGGTCAAAGAATTAAGCTCAATCTAGGAAGTCTGTTGTACCTTTATGTACAAAGTATTTGGTAAAAATGTACTGTGCCTGTTCTGTGGTACTTAAAAATTTGTGCTCTGGTATTGTCGTGCTCTTAAATTTGTTCATTAGAGTCGACTGCAGAGAGCTGCTTTACTGTGATCTCAAAAACATTTGAGGGAGAATAGCATGGAAACTTTTTGATGCTATTTAAAGCTTTTTGATGTGGACAAGCCTCCAGTTCAAGTCATCTGTAATGTCAATTAGCAACTCAGACCTTTTGTGCTTAGGATATCTTGGGAGAGAGTCAGGAGTTCCTTGATATCAGTTTTATACTCTTTCCGTATTGCTGATGTGGGGCAAGAGAGCCGAAGGAATACGCTCACTGGAGTAGGGACCATTACTGTAGCAGGATGCTGATGCCTTCTCTTTTCCCAATCCCATCCCTCCTCTAAAATGTTGTTTAGGGTAGCAGAAAGACTAAGTGAGCTGGGCCTGTTTAACCTAGAGAAGACTGAGAGGGGATCTGATCAGCATGTTCAAGTACCTGAGGGGAGAATGTAGGGCAGATGGGTCCAAACTCTTCTTGGAGGTGGCCAGTGACAAGACAAGGGGTAATGGGTGCAAATTGAAACACAGGAACTTTAATCTCTATGTGAGGAAGAACTTCTTTCCTGTGAGGGTGCCAGAGCCCTGGAACAGGCCGCCCAGAGAGGCTGTGGAGTCTCCTTCTCTGGAGATCTTCCAGACCTGCCTGGATGCCCCCCTGTGCCGTGTGCTCTAGGTGTCCCTGCTGGAGCAGGGAGGTTGGACTAGATGATCTCTAGAGGTCCCTTCCTACCTCAACCGTTCTGTGATTCTGTGATATTTTAGGAACATTGCATGCTAGGCTTCACCCTCAAGGGCTGCCCTGGCCTGGGAGACTGTTGGCAGAACTGAAAGGCAAGGAAGTGTCTTCCTGCTCCACTGGTCTGGCCTGGGATTGATATATGACCTGCAAAATGAACCACTCTCTTCTAGCAGGAACATGCATTCTGTCAAGAAAAAAAACTAACTCATTGTGCCTTAATTACTAATAGAGTAAATAGAGTAAATGGAGTTAGTTCTGAATTGATTTCTGGTACAGTTTGTCATTTTTTGTGTGTGTTTCTGTTTTTTTTTTTTTTTTTTACTTCTAGGTATACGCGGGGAAATCAATGTGGTTGTAAAAGTAGATCTCTTCAATGATTTGAACAGATTCAGACAGTCATCCTGCGGAGTCAAATTTTTTTGCAGTAAGTAGAGGAAAAAAGTTTATTTGAACACAATCTTTTTCGTTAGTTTTTTTTTTTTTTTTTAATTCCTTTCCTGTTCTGTCAGTTTCCCTCATCTCCCAGCCCACTGCGGGCCTATGGCAAATGTATAGGTGTGTTTTATTCATTTTTTAATTAATTTCTACTGTTCATATCTCAAAAATGTAGATTTTTTTTTCTTATATGTCTGGAATTGCATTTAAGGGCATGATGCATACACGTTAGGTTACTTTGTATATAGATTTTGTTCAAGAGGCACAGATAAAAAAGGTTTCATAATGGTACATGTTGAAACACAGCTGTGCGTGATACCCTAGACAATTATCTTATTGATGTTGCATGGTCTCCCAGAACAAAACTGCCTGGGTATGTCTGGATTCGGACAGAAAGAGAGCTTTACAGATTAGTTTCTGGAATCATTCGTATCACTTTTCAAGTGTAATTGTGTTTTTTCTTCTTTGAAATCTTGTCTCTGACTTATAATTTACATTCTTAAACTGTTTTTTAAAATTTAAACAGCTACATCTATTCCCAAGTGTTACAGAGCGGTAATAATTCATGGATTTGTGGAAGAGCTTGTAGTTAATGAAGATCCAGAGTACCAGTGGATAGACCGAATTCGTACACCACGGGCTTCAAATGAGGCTAGACAAAGACTTATTTCACTAATGTCAGGTATTAAACATGTAAGCTCTACTTGTGATTGCTGCTATTTTGAAATATCTACTTTTTAAAAAAGATCAGTTATAATAAAATTGTATGTGAATTTTGGTATTAACTGTGTTTATTTTTTCAGTTCACATTATTCTGTTTCTGAAGTTTCTTTGTCCTGATGGTCAGTATTGCTGATTCTTTGTTTGCCTTGGTGAGGCCACACTGCTGCTTATTTAATCTGTTGGTTGTTTTTAGCAAGGTCAAGGAAACCTCTGGAGCTCTCCAAAAGGTGATATTTTTAATCATCCAATCATTCTCGAGCCTACATTTGTATAATGGCATTTATTCTGCTGGGCAGATCTTTAATTCTGAAGAGGCCGGTTCTTAGAAGTCCAGTTGTTATCAAAAATCTTCACAAATTTCTTTTGTTTATGAAGACCAGTTGTGAGCAAAGGTCCCAATGATTCTGGTGCCAGTGGAGCAGAACATCGACTGGCACCTCGACTGGAGTTCTTAGGGACTAAGGCAAGAACAACCAGTTGATAGAGGTGAACAATATTGATAATGTATGTAATATAAGGGAATCATAAAATCATTATGATTGGAAAAGACCTTGAAGAGCCTCATGTCCAACTGTAAGCACACCATCACCATGGTGATGGCCATTAGGATGCTAAGCAATGCTTTCAGCTCACTAATAGGCTCTTGATATTGTAGGTGTTATTTATGTTTTAAGGCAGATAGTAAAATTCTGTTTTGGACCTCTGTTCTGGTAAGGATAAAAGAAAGCTGAGCAGTAATGATCACTTTATTCGCTTGGTATCTTAACATGAGGATTGTTAGGCTATCCTCTATGGTAATGAAGCTTTTTGGAAATCCTTCATTTTGTCAAAAAAGAAATGATATTTGGTGCGTAATATCGAGGCTGTCCAGCTGCAGAGGTCAATGAACTTCTATTTTTTTTCTTACAGTTTTGCAGTCTCTCTTGTGTGCAGTTAATAGAAAAGTGGAGAAAAAGTAGGCATGTGTTGGGTGTCATGGTTTGTTTTTGTGTGAGATTACCATATTAAGCAACATTAATGAAAAACAGAATTAAAAGCATGATTTTAGGTTGAAAGATGCTTGAGTTTTAGGAGTTTTTAAATGAAAGAAAAACATACGCCTTTTCATGTTGCTTTCAAAGGTGCTTCCTTGGCGTGAACTATATGAGGGAGTATTTAGATATT